CGCCGGAATTTTGTAACAACGTGCGCGCTCAAAGGATGCGGAATAGCCATCGCGGGACGCCTCCGGTATCCCGAAATAGCGCTGCGGTGTAGACATAGCCGAGGGGCACAGACCTCCGTGTCTTTTAAAAGTTGGTCCCTCCTGCAGGCGCGGAGGTGTGCCTCTCCAGGGGGCAGGCCGTTGGGAAGAGACGTCTGAGACGCCGGAATTTTGTAACAACGTGCGCGCTCAAAGGATGCGGAATAGCCATCGCGGGACGCCTCCGGTATCCCGAAATAGCGCTGCGGTGTAGACATAGCCGAGGGGCACAGACCTCCGTGTCTTTTAAAAGTTGGTCCCTCCTGCAGGCGCGGAGGTGTGCCTCTCCAGGGGGCAGGCCGTTGGGAAGAGACGTCTGAGAAATGTAAACGTTGCTGAGCCTTTGCCGTAACGCCTGCTCAGGTCTCTGAGCACATGTGCGTCCCTCCCGCTGCTTTCGCCATGAGCCTGACAGCCTTCGCGACTCAGCGTTTCCTGCCCCCGTCCCTTTCCTGGGTTCTGGGCCAGCGAGGCGTCCTATGCCTCGGGTCCGGCATGGCCATCTCCTTGCCAGAGACCGTGAATCCAGGGAGCTGACTTGGTTGCACGGGGTCAGGCTATGAGACCAGGCCATGCCTCGGGCTGCTGATATTTCTGACTCGTTGCAACGCTCTGCCTTGTAAGGATGTTAAATTGCAGTTACCTGGTGAATCGTGTGGTCGATAAGGGGCCGCTCTGCAGAGCCCCAGCCGGGGTAGTGCCAGGAGCCGGGACTGAGCAATCCTGGCTTGTACCGGCTCTGGGAGCCACCCGCTCTGCGGCTCTGCATTTCAAATGTAGTCAGAGCCACTGGGTTCTCACTCCACGTAAAATACAGCGGTGCGGTGTCCTGGACCAGCACGAGCTGGAATACTCGGTCCCGGCTCGCACCAAATCCAGCAGCCCCTCTTCATGGCAGCCAGGGCTTCCCAGGGGCAGGTGTGTGGATGTGTGTGTGTGTGGCGGGGGGACAGGAGGCACCTCAGAGATGGAGAGAAACCAGATTTTAAGCCGGCTCCCCCCAGCACCAGCTCCTGTCTCCCCCCCCCCCCCCTGCTGCCACTGATACAGAGGCAGCAAGGGGAGAGGGGAGTGAATAGATGAG